TAAGATGCTGAACAACAGCTCAACCTGGAGCTGGGCTGCCGTGAGTCGCCGGCGACGGCGTGGGCTGCAGTCCCTGTGGGATTGCCATGGGCTACCGTGTGTGGCCAGCAGCCAGCGTGAGCGGCCAGCAGCCGCAGTGAGCGGCCGTCCAGAAGCCGGCGACTGATCTGCCTCTCCAGAGAAGAGCGCAATGATGGTGCCAACTTGGGCCAGTGAAGCAACATCCTCCACAACTAGATTGAAGAACAAAACGACAGCAACTTGTCTGTTCCCCTTTCCCCAATTCCCCAGCACTGTTCCCATCCCCCCAATTCCCCCCCAAAAAAAAAACTTAAAAAAAAAATTATTAGGATTCTTAAAATGCATCACCAACTTGATGTTTAGAAGCGAGGCCGGCAGTGCTGGTCTTGAACAAAACTGTGAGGTCACACCATACAAGCTGGTCTTCATGTGAATGGCTTCCATCTTCCCCTCCTTCCACCCCGCCCCCCCACCATCACCTGATATTTCTCCCTCCATCCCTTCTCCCCTCCCTTTACCCCTTCTCTCTGCCCTTTAGTTTCCCATCGCCCCTCATTTTCTCTCTCCCCCCTCTATTGTCTGAGCACCAAGAAAGAAATCCGCCTGGAACTTCTGGGGTGCTAAGAGAAGGCTAACGCCAGCCGCTTTATTTGCGCCTGCAGGGAAAAGCGGACAGGGTAAGGACGGTCCCTCAGAATCAGGACATTTATTTTCTGATGTGGCTTCCTTACCAGACGTACATACGTATTTTTTAAGAAAGCAATTGCTAACTGACCTTGTTTACTGGCGTACTTCCAACACTCAGCTGCCAAGAGGGACTCGTTGACTTGGATGACCTGGGCTCCCGTGTGACCGGGAAGGTAGGGGACCTCCACTCCAGGTTGGGGAAGGCTTCTCATCAACATCACCATTGCTTCCGGTGTGAGGGGGTCCTGCCTGGTATCTGGGAGCCTCCCTGTCTCCAGTGAAGCTTCAGGCTATGAAATAATTGCCTCACATGTTTTCTCAGCAGCGTCTTGAGCTTCCGGTTGTTCTAAAGTTGATGGGATTAGTTGCCCCAAATCACCCAGTAGCAAGAACTTTGCATTTTAATCCTCCTCTTTCCCGGCAGCCCAGACTAACCCCATTTCCCCTGGTTTAGGGCTTTGTTAATGGACACCACGCTTTTACATTCTTGCCCGAGCTTGTCAATTGAGGAATACAGCTGCATTCGTCAACAAGGACCTAGAGACTTGGGTTGGTTTTTGTTTTATCATTTGTCTTATTGAAAAAGTCTTCCCAGTGGTTGTCCCACCAGAGGTAGTGATCCTTTGGAAGCACAGGAGGTCAGTGCTTGCTGGCTGGAAAAATGTAGGATGCTCACACAGACAGCTGCCTGTCCACGACCCTCTGTGATGTCCCAAGCCATCACCCCTGGGACAGGAGCCCGGGGCACTCACAGAGTGAGCTTTCCAGGAGACCAGAAGGGGTGGAGCTGGGAAAGGCGCAATCAGACAATTATAAACCTGCCTGGTTCTGCTTAAAAGGAGTTGGGGGACAATAGGAGAGAAACCTCAGGACAAAGCTCAAAGACATGAGGAAAGGACTGTTTCTGCCCATACTTAAGGCCTAGGACCCCCAGGCAGTGGGGAGGAGAGGCTCTGCGGGGAGAAAGCCAGCATCCTGCAGCACCAGCCACCGCCCTTCAGGATTGGAGGTTGGCTCCATTGAAGACAAAGGTAAAACTCGGGGGGGTCCTGAGCTGGAGGAATTCCAGAGCTGGTTTCGCAGACGCCCCAGGGCACTTAACATATCCGGAATTAGGAACACAGGGCTTACAGGGAAGTGGAAATCAGGATACCTCTTAAATATGCATATGAAGACCAAGGATGACACCATGGATGGGAGGGGACCCCTTTTCATACATTTCTGAATGTTTCACAAAGACATGAATATTTCAAAGGTCATTCGCAGACAGTGGAGGCAGGATGCAGATTGGAGTGTTTCCCTCAGGATCTAGGAAGCAGAGTGCAAAATTAACCTCTTGTTGGTGGCTTTTTCTCAGGTCCAGTGGATATTAGTCGGCTGGCATTGTAACGGCTGAAATAAAGATTCCCTTCGTTCTTTTTCATGTGTTCTCTGTCTTTCCTGTTTCTTCCCTGAATTGTCTAAGCTCCGCTAAGTTTGTTTGTTAGCAGTGGTCTCGTGCTGCTGTGATCTGGGTTCTGGAGACTTAATTTTGCTCTAGGAGCTTGGGCTTTGTTTGTGCTTCCTGAAGTCTGTGGACAAGGCTGATGCTGGGATGGGGTGGATATGGCTTCTAAGGGGACTTCTTAGCACATGCTGGCACTAGGGAGATAGAAGGTTGGATTAACTGAACTTGGAGGGGGTCTAAACAGCCATGGCATTCCGATGGGGACAGAAGTCCCTGCTGCTGGGGAAGGAAACCCTGCTTTACTCCTGGGGTTGGAGCTGGGAATAAACTCCTTAGGGAGCCAGGGAAAGGAGGCGTGGACTAGCATGTCTTAGAATTTCCAACTTACAAGAGGGGAGGACTTTATTCTGAGCTCCAGTTTCTCTCTGGATATTTAAGAATGGGAGAGTTTATTCAAATATACTGCCGCACATGGACCTTTTATGCCATCCAGGGGTGCTGTTGACAACGCTGGCAACTACACTGGACAGAGCAGCTGGGTACTGTGGTGGAGAGTGGATTTTGGCTTCAGGGGCAGTGTCACCTGGACAGTAGTGAATGGACCCTACAGATCGACCCCGGGGCATCCAGGAGCATGAGCTAACCTGTCATTTGCATGGGTCCCAGGAGGATATACAAGGACAACAGTTCTCTAAAGCATGTGGCCCTGGTCCCCTGGTCTAGAGACCCCTTCCTGGGCTCATCCACGGAGTGCTGTCAGAAGATGGCTCTCCTGTGCCACCCTCCACGTGGGCTGTCCCAGCGGGGAGGCTTTATGCTGGATAGCAAGTGGCAGTCCGCGCGTTGTCACTTGCTGCATGTCTTCTTGTCTAAGTGGGGAAGGGGTAGGCGTCCATAAGGATGGCATGTAGGCATCTGTGATGAGGATAAACATCAGGTTTTGTGACCTTAACCCTTTACGACTCTACCCTCCTGTGACCGCTGGCCACCACTCTGGACCCTTGTGGCCACAGCACACCCGTGGGGGTGACCACCTGAAGGTGGGGACAGCCTGCCTTCAGGGACTACAGCGCTCCCTCCCAGTGACCACAGGCTGGTCCTGAGCCCTGAGTCTGGGCAACAACCAAACATGGAGCCTACATGTGGTGTTTCTACCCCGCTCTCGTGTTCCCGCAGAGCAGGACACTTCTGTTTCTCCTGCCTGGAGGGGCAGTACGGGCTGAATGGTTCCGGTCCCTATTGTTACACCCCTCTTTGGGTCTCCCCACTGAAGAGGAACAAAGCCAGGTCTGCGATGCTGGCTGGACCTGTTTCACTGGCGGTATCCAGTGCAGTGACACAGCCACGTGGGCTTATCTTGTGCTCTTGCTGGTCCTTTGAGTCACTAGGGGTGACAGATGGCCAGCTATCCACAAAGTTACCATGTGGCGTTAGTGCCAGGAAGAGGCTGCCTCCCCAGGGACAGCTTTTCCATGCTCCCACCCCACCCCCATGCCTGGCATTGAACGTGAGCGGAAGGGCAGTCTCAGTCAAGGTTTTCCAGAAGAGCTGAGCCCTCACACCTGGGGGGCATGCACATTCTGGAGGGTAGAAGAGGCTGGTTTCCTGCATGGCAGCCTGTCCAGAGCAGCTGTGTCAGGTTTTTCCATACGGGAGACGGTCTTGTTCCTCATCAGACACATTAGATATTTTGGTCTATGTGCTCTAGCACTATTACACTACATAATAAAATAGGTGGGCAAGTTAGGCCCCCAATTCTCCAGGCAACTGGGAAAGGATGTGGCTAAACCTGCCCTGCACACCGAACCTCCTGTGGGGTCCAGTGCTTAGATCTCAGGTGGGAACCCCAGGCTGCCTCTGGGCCTGGCATCAGAAGGTGGCCGTATGCTTTCGAGGCCACTGAGCCTTTAGCATGCCCCTTAATAAGAATGATAATTTGATCCTCATTGACTCTCCCTTCTTGTGATCTATTCTCTGTTGATTAGATTGGAACCTGATCAGGATGAGAGGGTGAGCGATTGGTACATTCTATACATACCTGCCTCACTGGGGCTCTGGACAGAGCCTCCGGGAGATTAAGGTGTGAAAATGGGAACACAGCGCAGGTGAGGCCCCAGAGGAACATGTGGAATGCCTGACAGGAGGCTCTGTCCTGCTCCATGGACGGGAAGATAGTGACAAACGCTGGGCCCCAGACCAAAGCTTTGAGGGTTGAAGTGGTGTTCCAACTGGAACACTGAGAAACCAAACTCCGGAACAGACCAGGACCCCAAAGGTCTGGGGGCTCAGCCGAGATTCTTGTGTGGGATGGCAGACACAACCCAGGGTAGGCGTGCACACCTCGTGGGGCGACCCCCAGCACACTTCTGAGAACCCACAACCGAGTAGTACTTCTAACCCAGACCCCTCCCCGGAGACGTCTCGGGCACCACAATTTGCCTTATGAGCAGATCACAACAAAGGGAAGGAAAGGTGACCCACTGGGTAAATAGCGCGACTCACAAACTTAGAATTTGCTCTGGAAACCCTCCCTGGACTTAGAGCTGGTGCTTGGTGGAGGCGGCCAGTCACCGAAAGCAGACAATATGGGGTGCTCTGCCTCCCGCTGCACTGCTGATATGTGACCATAAGGGGTCTTTCCTTCCTCCCTCCTTCCCGCCTCTCCTTTTCTTCCTTCCCAGGTGAGGTAGGTGGCCCATGAGGTCATCGCCCCACTGCCAGTGCACACAGACTTTGTAAATGATTAAGGCAACAACTTACACCATACCCAGCACTAACCCAGCCCCAGCATGGGTGAGGACACAAGCCGGCATCTAAGAGAAAAAATGTACACAAAACACGAGTATGTTTTTTGCAACAAAAGAAACTATTTATTTGGAATATGCATGACCAGTACAAATTAGGAGACTGGAAAACCTACACCGTGTTAGTATCATCAGAGAACACAAAAGCTCACTTGGAATCAAAAGGGACAGAAGCCTGTGCTCTCACAGAAGCAGAAAAGCTTAAACTCTCAAAACCAAAACAGCAGAGCTTTGCAGGTTTACACTCTGGGCAAGGAGCGCGCGGGAGGGTAAAACCAACAACCAAAGGAAATCACTTCAAAATAACTGAAAACTGAAAACGCCAAAGGAAAGAAAAGGAGTGACAAGGGAGGAAAAGGGAAACAAAACATTGGATGTTTTATTTATTTTAATAAAAGGAAGGAAAAGTTTACAAAAAAATAAAGGATTCCAGAAAGCTTTGAGCTAGGGAGTGAAACCACGAAGGTGATGTGAAAAGCCCATCATTGTTCTGCTCTGACTTAAAAACAAGAGTCCAATAGTTGGGGTGGAAACACTTTCCTAACGCGTCTCAGCCCAGTTCTCCAATTCTCCCACTTCTCTCTGTAGGTTCTGGCTGCTTTCTGAACTCGTAATCATTTGTTGAATGGAAGATGTTCAAAATAAAGCTTCTTCCAGATAATACTCCTTTCTTTTTCCCTGTAACTACTCTAATACAAACATTCTGAATCAAGCCAGTTGTACAATTTGCTTTGAACAGCTGCCGGAAAAAAGCTGTGCTGTCGAGGAACCAAACTTAACCCCCAGCACTGAAATGGCAGCATTGAGTCTGGCTCAGTTTTTCACCAACTCTTTCTCCAGACACGGGATGCTTCGCCCATCCATGGCCCATCACACCAGGATCTCTTGGGGCGTTTTTCTGGAAGAGAAACCCTCCCTAGTTAGAAGGGGCCTCCTGGAAGGTTGTTGCTAATCAGGAAGAAAGAAAAGAAAGTATTTCGTTGTGACATTCGCAATCAACAAGAGCAAAAACCTCCCCTACAGTATAAAAGGTCCCCTGGACGGATTCCGTGAATTCTAAAGAGCCAAATGGAGAACTCAAGACCCCGACTTTGTTTTTCTCAGAGGTTTTTAGCAGGGAAGCCCACGTTAGAAACGCAGGTGAGCGCATGATGTCTGCATCCGCTTTCTTTCTCTTTGTTTCTGAAGTCAATACATTCTGAAGAGGAAGCTGCTACTCTACAAATGTCATCTTTTCACATCACCTTGTATACATAGCTAAGGAATCAAACAGCAAGGTCATAATCCTGACAATTAAAAAAAAACGCCCCCCTCCCCCATAAACAAACCAAAAATAACACAAAACATAATTTTTTTTGTTATATTTTAAAGAGCAGGAGTAAAGAAAAGAAATTATTTCTGGGTCTCAAAGTTAATAAACATAATAACGTGTTAGGTGGTACCTATGATGCTCACTATTCCAACTTTTTTTTTTAGTTTACAAAATGAATTACTGTCACTTTTAAACATTGTGAAACAGGAAATGGATGTGCACAACTCGACACTTTTCTAGCATTCTTGAACTAATTCACAAATGCGAGAAAATAAAAGAAAAATGGGGGAAATGATGAATGTAGGTAGTTTGGTGTTAAAAACTAATTCAGGAATGATGCGTATTGTCACAGAAAGAAAAGGGGCAATTCCCCATCCTGTTTTGCGTGCTATGAGGGTCATTTTTAAAATTTTTATTATAAACACTATTAAATTCAGACCGCCTTTTTGGTTTTTTTTTCCTTTATCTGAATATACAAGAACATTCCTTATCAAATGTTCGTCATCAGTACTACAAAGAACTAGACACAAGTCGCAAGAAACAATGGAAAATGTTAATAAAGCTGAAAGAATCGTTGAGTATTTTTTTTGTTTTTTTTTTGTTTTTTTTAAATTTGAGTTTCTGTAGTTTTATCTTTTTTGGTATCGAAGTCAGGTTTTTCTGGGCAGAAAAATCAAACTCAGAAGAAAAAGAGTGGGAGGAAAGGTGAGAGAGAAGGCAGCCAGCAAATAAAGAACCACCACCAGAGCACAATGAAGAGTCACGTCAAGGTGTCACTCAAAAGGAGCGCGTCAAGTGTGCGCTGGGGGATGACTTGGGGATGGAAAGGAGGATGCGATGAAGCGTCAGAAGGCAGGCAAGCCCAAGGGTGGTATCGCTTCCCCGGGAAATTTGCTGCCAGGGAAAGGGGGGCTTCCACTTCCATTAGAAACAGGGTCCCGGGGGCACGGTTGGTGTCTATCTGTGGGGTGACCTACTATGAATTCCCAGGGCGCTGTATTTCCAGAGGGAAACTCTTTGCCATCCCCCTTTGGGCAGGGCTCCCATGCTCTGCTTAACATGGAGAGACCGCGTGGCTGCCATGTGGGACATGACTCTGGCCATGGAGGGAGGTGTGGGACAGAGACAGAGAGGTGCCGGGCGGGAAAGGTGCCGTGAGAGTGATCATCAGTGAAAGTGACTGCCGGGAGGGAGGCCGCCTGGGCTCTGGTCTTGTCTATGAACTTGCAATGGCAATCGTTCAGCCCAAACCCGGAGCCTTCCTCCCATGTGCAGGACAACCCTTTGCGTCTCTTTTGTACTTCACCCAAAGTCACGTGGACGTGATCCAACCAAATTCCTGTAAGGGTGGTTCAGCACATCCCTACCCCTGAGACAGAGCTCGCCATTGGTTCTCATCGCGACAGCGCTGTCGCGTGATGGCACCTCCTAGGAATGCTCTGTGTGGGGCCCTGTTCTGACCACGGCCCAGGTCAGCAGACACAGCCTCTCAAGGGCGCTTAGTCAGCAAGGCATAATCCCACCTGGTCAAATATTTGCTTTTTGTATTTCCTTCAAGTATGCATACCCTCCAGTATCCTTGGGAACCTCCCCCAGCACACACACAGGTCGTTACTGTCGCCATGCGGAATTTCCATGACCTTGTTAGCTGGCCGTCCTCACCCCTCAGGGCCTAATGCCTTCCCAGGAGCCTCTCAAACAGAGTCCATGTGATGGGGGACTAAGTACTTACAAGGCCACATATTGGATTCAAGTACAAACTAAGAGAACCAGGTCGGATTTTTCTAGGTTGGGAGCTTATCTCTACTCTACGAAACCAAACAGACCAAAACAAACAAGTGAACTAAAAAAGCAACAACAATAGCCCTTCTTTTTGTCATCATGGTGATGACATCAGGGCGCTGATGTTAACCGAAAGTTAGAATAGGAAAACCACCTATTGTCCCCATCTGGCAAGAACCAGTGTATCTCAGAGAAGCTACAACCCTGAGTTCACATGTACAGATTGGACGTGGATGACACTGATGTAGCCCATCTCTCACAAGCCCCTTGGTGAGCCAGGCATAATAATTACTCCCGTTTTATAAATAAAGAAAATGAGGCACGTGACCACCTCCCACTCAACAAATGGCAGAGCCGCTATCTTTACTGCTGGCACGGTTGGCTACGAAGAATGTAAGCGCAGGTGGCATGAGAGACTAGCTTTCCAGTACACACTCTTCTCCCTAAGATGCTCCCAGAGGACAAAAATCGCCATGACACTTTCACTGAGAACATTATCGCCCCATTCCCCCACCACTTAGCTCCTCAAATTAAGCCAGCGCAAGGTCTGCCCAAGCCATGCTCTTACACAACTCTCTCCTCGAGAACAAGACGTGGTGCCACATAACCCTTTAGATAATTAATGCCATGTCCCTATCGCTAAAACAAAACCGAAACAGAACCAAGTCCATGACAGGTTTCGTAAGGATTGTGACTGGCTCCCTGAGAGCTCGAGGCAGTGGGAGCGGGAGTGGCTGGCACTGGGAACTGGGCCTGTCCTGGGGGGGTCGTGCTGGCATGTGGGGGCTGGGGACCTGCAGGTCCTGGGCACCCCAGGTCCATGTTGTTTCTCTGTGTCAGTGACCTTCACTTGAGGTTGCTAATTCTCTCTCTTGGGCTCCTAAGGCGTAATGGCTGTGGTTTCTAATGTCGGTGTTTGTGGCATGCGACTGGTCTTGGGGAAGCGAATGCGTGACTGGGCACGTGCCAACAGGGGTGTGCGTGCGTGTGCATGCGCGTGTAGTTGAAGGGTTTCAGGGTAAGACCCGTTTCCTCCTTCGTGATGCATTCATCCCCGTGCCTAACACAACTGATTGCAAAGCAGGTTCCGGACATTGCTTTCTACATGGTGCACGGTTTCCAAAGACTGCGCCTCTGAAACCAAGAGCTGTCATTAGCAGGATGGGAAGCCTCTAGGAATGCTGCCCTCTCCTGCTGCAGACTTCCTGCCTGGAAACCAACCTGTTGGGCTGAAGCCGGAAACGGGGCACCTTGAGTAGCACAGCTATGGCAGTCCCCAGGGAACACCTGGGGCTCGGAAGGAAGAGGAGGAAAGCGCTCTGATGGGAGCTGTCCCCAGGCAGGGAAGAGCAGGAGGAGGGGGAGGCGGGATGGGCGGGGTGGCGACTCCTACAGAGGTAGCGAGAGGATCAGGAGAAGCAGAGGAGGGCTGCCTGCTGACAGAGGGACCCCAGTGAGGTAAACGTGGCTCCTCAAACCACCAGCGTGAAAACATACAAACACGTTTATTATTTTCTTTGTAGTTTTTTTCCTCTTTAAATTCCTCTAATGGTTGAAAATATCCTTCAGTGATGTGCAGAGGACAGGGACCCAGGGAGTGAGGGGCAGAGGGAAGGGGCAGGGAAGACGGCGGACACCAGGCTGACAGCTGGAGGCAGGGAAGGGGGGTTTCTACCCAGAAAGAAAAGGGAAGAGAGTATAAAGAAGTGTCCAGATTGGCTGAGATGGCATCCCAAAGGGGAGAAGAGAAGGAGACTCATTGTGTTTGCTGATTGCTTCGACCTCCAGTCTGACCGCTTCAGCGTGGGGAGACACCCTCCCTCCTGGCCCTGCCCGACTGGGGCGCAGGGTCAGCCGGGATGCGACTGCTGGGAGGTCAGTTGGAGGTATCGGAGTGAACACTGCCAGGGCCTTCTGTAGGGGAGGTCACTGATGAAGGGGTAGTGGCATCCTGCCAGCCTCCATTAGCCTGGAAGGGAAAAAGGGAGACAAGTCAGTCCTCTGAGATCGGTCGTGGGCTGTTTTGAGCAGACAATGACAATAAGAAACGTCTGTGGAGGGCCTGTCACAGTATCTGGCACACGGGGACACTCATCAGCTGGGCGGCCATGACGGGGTTGATCATACGCCCCTCCCCCGCGAGATGAGTTCAGGTCCTCCCAGCACACCTCTGGACACAATGCCACCACCACCCCCACTTCTGTCAGATGATGACAGCGTGGGCTCTGGTGGGAAGACAGCTGCCCTGCAGGGCCAGGGACCGAGTTCCAGGTGTGACTCTGGCCAAGCATGTCCACCCCTCTGGCCTTGGGTTCCCCTTGAGGAAAACAAAAGGTTTCCCAAAGACTTCCTGAGGCCCTTTCCAGCTCTGGCTGCTCCGTATGTTATGGGAATCCAGGTGCTGGTTCTGTGCACGGTTCTGTGCTAGATGCTCTGGCTACCGGTTCTGTGCTAGATGCTCTGGGTAGGTAATGAGGATGAGATACGTTTTCTGTCCACATCACAAGCGAGAACTATTAATTCAAGGCAGAACCTAATCACAGAAGGTTCAGGAAAGGCAACGCCCCACCTGGTTGAGTGTCAGGAGCGGCTTCATGGAGGAGGCATCCTCTGAGGGAGGCCTTGAAAAGGACAGAGGGTGATTCGGAAGACGAAGAAAATAGTGCCAAGGCCACAGCACTGGCCAGCGTGAAGACATTTCGAGAGGGCTGAGATGGGAAGCTATCCATCTGATGTGCATTTGTAGATCATACCTAAGACTCTAAATCCAGGAGCATCCAAACAGTGGAATTGTTCTGAAAGGATCTGTTTCAATGACCACGCTTTTTGAAAACGAGCCCAACATTTACGTAGTTTGAGGAATGATTGGCTACCGTGGTTAATTCATGATACGTGATTCTAATACACTGAAATAAAAGTGTGCCCAAACGCATTTCCCCCCGTTGCTATGGTCCCCTGGAGGTAAGTGACCGCAGCTCTGCAGACGTCAAGGTTGAACCGAACAGGTCTCAGACCTCCCGCTCAGTCATGTTCTATTGTACTTTCCTCTCATTTTATTCTCTGAAATATTTGGGGGACACGGGGCAGGTATGACTATTGCCATCTGGGAGGGATCATGGCTTCTACTCCAGCATCACCCCCCGGGACGTAGGAGTGCCTTTGGCACCTACCAGGTGCTGGCAAGGGCCCCTTCACATTCCCTTCGTGCGAAAGCAGGCGCCTGGTTTGTTTCTGACAGACACAGAGCCCAGGCTCCCAGCCTCGGCAGCGGGCTGCTTTTCCTCTGCCCTTCGCATCCAACTGCGTTTCGAGTGGCTCACCCAAACAATGCTCCAACTTTCCCGGGAAAGTCAGGCTTTTGATTCAGAGCAGCTCCCACCGGTTCCTCCAGCATGAGGACAGGTCTTCCTACCCCCAATAAAGGGCAGGTTTGGACACCGTGAGGGCAGGTCATCCCAGAAAATGTCACGACCACGTCCCCTCCATGGTGGACCGATGAGTAATGCCCTCGCGTTCTGACCTCCATTCCTAACTGGGTCGGGCAGCTCTCCCCGCTCCCCCTCGCTGCTGGAGGGCATCCCCCATTGTTTGTGAGGCTGAATAGAGAGCAAGGATGGGCACGGAGAATTCGCGTTTCTGTCTTTGGGGGCCAAGACTGCAGTATGATCAGAATCAAGAACAGAATTAATCTGATTTCTGAACGCAGGCTGGTCATAGAGGGGCTTCACCATGGCCTCCCTTCCCCACGCGTGTTCTGGCACCACTGTGGGCTGACTGAGAACGGTGGGTATATTTATTTTTACCCAGAGAAAACCCTGTAACATCATGTATCTTTTCTGATCACAAGGGTAAGATGTGCATATATAATATGTGCAAATATAATACTTGCAATGACATGTGCAATATAATATTTAGAAAATAGGAGAAGTATAAAAACCAAAACGTACAATACCCATGATCCTGTTACTCAGAGAGACCACTATGGTTAGCATTCTGTGTGTCCTAACCATCTTTTTTCATATGTGTATGTTTCCCAGCTAGGTAGGTAAATAGATAAAGGGATAAACATAGATGTGTGTGTGTGTTTGCTGGGCACAGGATTTTAGGAAACTTGACAGACTTTCCTTAAGGACAATGTCACGAGGTAGAATGCGGGTTGAAGATGAAAAGAAGCCACGGATCTTAGAATGGACCTGGGAGGAGGACACAGGCTGGGGAGGCAGCTCTGTGAAAGCAGTTCCGTCCTTGTCCCAGCAGGAGGCTCAGAGGTCACCACGATGCCATGACTGAGCCACGCTGTGATTCCACAACCAGGGGGACCCCAAACGCAGCCATCGGCAAAGAGAATGAGCTTTGAGGCGTCCCAGCGGGAGAGGCTGGTAAGGCAGTGGTTCCTGAGACTGC